GTATAGTCATATACAGGTTCCTTTAAGAAGCTAGCATTGATGGTGTTCTCCATGTCTGTGGTAGATTCTGTCAGGGTCCTTTCCAGATGGTGCACCCACCCCACTGCTGTTGTGAGCTTTGGCTACTAATGGCTCACAGCTACTCCCTTCTCCAGAAGACACTCCTCAGAAGAGTACAGGCTGCCTTGCTGAGCTGGTTTTGTACACCCATCCTCAGGTTGTCTGTACCCAGTAACTGACTGATACTGGAGCATAACACATGAGAATCAATTCCTTTGCCTCAAGGCTGAGTAACCCTGCAGTGTAATTCCCACTCCAGAATATCCATGGGCCCAAGCTGAACATAGTCTCCAGCTGAGACCATATCCCTACTTTCCTCTTTCATCCTCATATTCTGTTTCTTTCACCCCTTCCTCTTAAGAGTACAGTAAAAAAGCCTCTCCATTTCTAGGAAGCCACCTGCAGGAGGTGGTCCTAGGAAACACTAAATATGGAATTCTGAAGATGTTTAGATCACTGGACAACAGGATGGAAATGAGGACAAGGTCCACTGCTAGGCAGCAGGGACCAATCTCATGGCTACTAACCAGTGTACTGATAGTCCCTGGGATGTTGTGGTAGATGACTTTGTTGAACCAGGGAAGAGTATAGAAGAAGGGAGTGGCTTAGCTGAGGCAGACTCTGATGACTGACAGGTTTGGAGAAGTTACTCACAGTAAAGATTTGGAGATGAGCAGCCATTGCTAAGCAAGTAACATGTTAGGGTTAGAAGGCAAGTTCAGAAATATTTAAGAAGATTTTCATCACCCAAAGCCAGTACTGAAAACTAGGCATAACCTAAAGTATACAAGTGGCAGAACTTTAAAGAAGGCTAGGTCTTATCCTGCCTGGTTTCCATTTCCAAAGTCAGGGCATTGATACAGAAAGAACAGAACCTTGAGACTTGAGGTGTGGCTATCTTGAAAATCTTGACCTCAGATTCAAGAAGGCTTTCCTGACTTGTTGGAAAATAAAAAGTCACGCTTAATGCTTACTTAGACCTGGAGTCCAATCTCATCTTGACTTGACTATAAAGGAAGAAAAGGAACTGCAAGTCCTTGCTCACAGCAGGATGGTTAATGCCTGGGTATGAATCCTAAGGGTGATAATCAGGGAGGGGCAGAATATGAAGTGGGGATAGGGGATCTTAACCAGCCAGAAGCATATTCCCATGGTAAGAGCTCTGAGAGTCAGTTCTAACATGTTGCTGGGATGGTTCTTGAAATCTGGGGACAACAAATGGCCATATTAAATAAAATAGTGATGCCAAAATTTTCAAGATAGACTGTGCACATAGGGATAAAAAGTTAGAGAAGTTTTGAACGCATCAGCCAACTGACTAGAAAACTTTCTGGCTGAGTCTTCCTCAGAAAAGCCTGGCTGACACTGCTTATCAAGGTGATAAGAAACGCTTTGCCTAGGGTAACAGCTTCATTGAGCAGCTCAGAGGTGTTTGTCCTCTAGAAGCAGGGCGGGGCTGAAGGGAAAGATGCTGTTACAGAACAGGAACCTGGAGTAGTATGGGGAATGACAGAACCTAGAATAGCAGAGCAAACTGTGAGAAGCAGCAGCAATCTAATTACCACAATGGACAGCAAGATCAAAGTGGCAGCCAGGGGTCCTGACCTGACCTTATGGGGATGGCTGATGGAACATAACATTTCTAGCTACGAGATATGTGGGCAGACAGAAAGGGCATTGTATAATATGTAGTCTGAACAGATCGAGGATGAACAGAAGGCTGGGGTCAGACATCACTCCAATGGAAAATCATAATCTGTTGCCCAGTTTCAAGACCTGAGCCTATTCTAAGACTGAGACTGCATGGACCAAAGGAGATGCTGCTATACATGAGGGACCCTGCATACAGATTTCTTCAGTTCTCCAAAGTAACTTATCCTAAGATTTTTTTTTTGAGAAATGTTGGATACTGTTGGGGGACCCTGCTGCTAAGGTTGTAGTCCTTCATGTCCAGATAGCTCTAAGGGGCTCAGCGCTATATGGAAGGACTCCCTTTCTCAGCGGGGGGCCTCCTGCTCTCTGCCTGACTTACCTGGAAAGTGCCACCAAGCACGGATGCCTGACCTTATTTGGAACAAGACCTTTGGCATAGTCACCTGCAATAAAACTGCCCCCAGGCTTTTTCTATATGATAATGAGGCATTGTCCTATAGTCAGCTGATAGGATCCCCCTACCACATGTAAATAAAGCATACTATGAGCACCTATCAGCTGAGGCTTTGGCTGCTGCCTCCACACTATATTTTCCCTAACCCCCACTGAATAAACAGAGCTGTATCGCTGAATCTGGAGCTATACCACTGAATCTGCCTCCCTGGAAAGTCTTTTTCCGTCATGCTCACTGGCCGTCCTGAACCCGTTCCTTGCTTCTGCTCCCTTTGTCCTCGTGGATCAGTGGCCAATGGCCCTCAAGGGGAAGGAGAGACCCCACAGGATAAAAGATCTAAGTTGATGGGGATATCCATGGGTCCTAAGTACCATGCCTCTCACATTATGGAGCCATTTCCCACTGGAAAGGGGCAATACTGGATTTATATAATAAGAGTCTTCACTCATGCCTGTCTCAGTGGGCCTACTGGGTCCTGTTACCATCTCAGTGATCGCTTCTCTGCTTCCTGAATATGTGGATATACTTAGTTGACCAGCCCCTCACACTGGTTCTTGCCTGAAGAGTAAGATCTACTAAAGTAAGAAAGGCTAAGCAGACATCCTTTCCAACTACCTCTTTCTCCCTGTCCTGATCAATGAAGGCAGCAAACAAAACCAGTTTTATGTCCAAGGGAAGATAACATTCACATGGGACAGACTTTTGCAGTTTTGCACCAAGACTCTGCTGATTTTCCCATTTTCTGTCCTAATATATTCCAAAGGGACCCACACCATCTGGCATTGCATTAGTCTACCATATTGAAATATCAGGCTAGTCAGATCTGATGAACATGAAACACAAGTTGATGCCCTGGTGAGATGCATATATTCCAGAAGATGGATAAATCTCAGAGAAATGTATGAGTTAGTAATGTGGGTGAAAAAATTAAGTAGCAAGTTTTGTTTGAAACAAGGTCTACCTGTAGCTCCAGCTGGCCTAGAACTGGCTATGTAGACCAGGCTGGCCTTGATCACACAGAGATCCCCCTGCCTCTGCCTCACAAAGGCTGGGACTAAAGGTGTCGCCACCATGTCTGGCTTGTACAATTATTTTTCATAAACATGAAACAATTTTAGACTTTGGTGAGATAGGAAAAAGTACAGGGACTTTCTTCATACCCTTTATCCCTCTGTTAACATCTTGTGTAAGCATAGAACATTTATCAAAACAAAGAAAATAGCTGGGTTTGGTACACCCCTATGATCTCAGCTCTCAGGAGTCTGATAAAGGAGGATTGCATGTTCAAGGTCAACCTGTACTGTATAGTGAGTTCAAGGTCAGCTGGGGCTACAGGGATAACCTGTCTCAAAAAGACAAAAAAAAAAAAAAAAAAGACCAAGTTAAAACACCTTGCACTTTTTACTACCAAGAAAAATAGCATAACATTTGGTTGATGTTTTTAGGTTTAAGAATCAGTATGCTGTCCACACCATTCCTCTCTATCAGCAATTAATATGGACTGGCTGCTCATGAGCAGGGGTCTGAACATGGGTACAGCAGCGTGTCCTGATTGTTATACACCAGCTCTGCCTCGGCGGCCAGATCTGCTGGCACATCTTACCACACTAGAGGAATCCGAAGTAGAGGAAAGGCTATGTATCAAGTCCTCAGATCTCCAAAAAAATCACAGTGCAGCCCTCAGGGGGCTCTGTGGGGCCTCTACTTCCATTCTAAAACAGCTTCACTGCAAAACCAAGAATTTCAATATCTTTATTTCCAGCGACAAAAATGAGGTCCCATGTCAGTCATAATTGAGTCTGGTATTTTCCTCTGTTGCTTTTTATTTTCAAACACAATTTGGCACAATTTAATATTTCAATATTGAACAAAATTAAAGGAGTTATGATGCTGATTTTGTGGGGGAAGGTACCTTGTATTTCTTCTTTAAGAAAAAAATACAGAGTCTGGCTATGTAGCTCTGGCTGGAACTTGAGGCAGTCCTCCTGCTTCTGCCATCCCAATTGCAGATACCCTCCACCACACCAGGCTACCTTGAACTTTTAAGAAGTATTAATTTCTTTCTACTCCATGTTAAACAAACAAATTAAGTCTATTGAGTGGCTCTGTGGGTGATGTGTGGCTTTGCTTATATTTTTTTAAAGATTTTTATTACTTGTTGAAAGCCAGCAGGAAGAAGGCATTGTGCAATGGAAATAAAAGAAGTTAATCACAGTCCCTACCTTCCAGGAATTTAGTCTAGAACGTTTGAGGGTAGACTCAATGCTGTAGAAGCAGCTAAAGACCCTTCAAGAGGGTGTGTTACAAAAGCAAGGGGCCATTTCAGGCGGGGAAAATTTAGGGTTGGGCAAGTACTGCGTCATCTAGAGTTTTGTGCTTAGACTGTGGATATACTCTTTGACTTGGGGCAAGAAAATTAGGCATGTAAATTAGTGCCCCAGATTTGTTTTCCATCTTGAAGCCCTAGGACCCAGAGCGACCACCGGAGTTTTGAGTCTTAAGGAACCCAGGTTCTAGAACTGGTGCGATCTCAGACTTGCTCTTTGATTTGGGGCAAGAAAATTAGGCTTGTAAATTAGTGCTCCAGATTTGGTTTCCATCACGCAGCCATTAGGTTTCCAAGGACAATGCTCTTCCATGACTTCGGATCTTAGTTTCTTGTCCCTCTACCGCACCTGCTCTGCAGCTGGCCAGCGAGCGAACGGGGTGCGGCCCCTTTAAAGGAGGACGCCCGGGGTCTCTCGGGGTTGCGGAGCAGGGGCGGAGCGCTCAGCACCCGGCCTTGCCCCCCGCAGCCGGGGACGCCTCTGCGTCACAGCGCCCGCAGCCAATCAGGGAGGAGCCTGACTGGACGCATTACTAAGGCGACGGCCCGACGCCTCCCGGCTTCGGGATGAATTAGCGGCGGGTTGTGACCACCCCACCTCCCCCGAGTGGCAGGCTCGCCTCAGTGTCCCTGCGACGTCGCGCGCCTTCCCCGGCCGAGTCTCAGGTGCGCGGCCCGCGGTGTCAGGTGCGGGTTTCGGCGCGGGGAACATGGCGGCAACGGGGGAGTCCCCGAGTGGGCGGAGGGGAGCTGCTGCGGCCTTGTTGCTTCCCCCACACACGGGCCTCGGGAACTGGACCCCGGGGACGGTCACTCGCGCGAGTCCAGGTCTCGATGTGGGCGGAAGGCGCGGGAGGGCGACCCTGGCGAGGCGGAGGTTTGGGAGCAGAGCGGGCTGAGGGGTGATGAGCCCCGGGTGCCGGGTCGGTACTCTGTCCACACCTCGGCGGCCCTGGGAGCCACTGGGTCTCCACGCAACACCCAAGCCTGTCCAGGCCAGATTCCCTGTGCAGAAAGCTCCCCAGAGGCCGCCACCTGCCGAGCTAGGAGGAGTGCTGTCCAGGTCACGGGCTGGGGCTGCAGTGTGCGCCCTCCAGGCGCCAGAGGTGTGCCCTAGGTCCAAGGCGTCTTTGTGGCAGTGCCCCAGAAGGGAGGACAGGCCTCACAAAAGGCCAATGTCGCGGCTGATTTTTCTTTTCTTTTCTTTTTTTGAGACAGGGTCTTGCTAATCCTGGCCCTCGTTGCCCCAGCCTTTTTATTGGTGAGATTAGAGTCATGCTTCAAACCACGCCCACCTGGCAAATTTGGTCTTTTAAGTTACATCTCAGCATCTAAGACATATTTGAAGAGAAGATATAAAAAGATAAGGTGCTTCCCTGTGGTTGCCGAGCTGTTCTTGTGTTCTGGTTCTTTCTGGAAGCGTTCGTTGTCATTGACGTTCACTTACTGTATTCGTTGAATGGCTGTGGACAGGGCTGGGTTTTGCCATTCAGTTTAAGCTCTAGAAAAATACTGAAAATATGTTGGTGAAGGTATTACCAAGATAAATGCTACTCATTCATATTGCCAAAGAAACACTGTGTCACAAAAAGTGTAAATAGGTGGGAGTGTGGTGGTGAAAGCCTTACATTCCATCAGAGGCAGGTGGATCTCTGAATTTCACACAAGCCTAGTCTACATAGTAAGTTCCAGGCCAACTAAGGTTACACAGTGAGAACCTGTCTCCAAAACAAGACAAACAAAACACAAAACAGGTATAAATGGCTGGACTACTTAATTAGAGACGAAAGGCTTTTTGCAAAACTTATGTTTATGTTTGAATTGGTAAAAGAATTGAGAACTCACTGAAGCACTTTGTATTTTAGTCATCAGTAGTTACTGCCACATGAGTGCGTAGTATACGTATATCTGGTACTGTGATCTTGAGATTTCTATATTTAAAGTGAACAAATGGTGGTGATTCATCTGTTCCCACCAGAGCTAAAGACTGGCAACTGCTGACAAGGACTTCCAAACTGGGTCTGGGGGAGGGTCAGTTTGGCCTGGGGTTGAGGTTATTTGTAGACTATATCTACACTGTGGTAGTCAGGGGCTGGAGAGATGGCTCAGCGGTTAAGAACACTGGTGGTTCTTGCAGAAGAGCCAGGTTTGAATCCTAGCACCCACATGGCAGCTAACAACTCTTAACTCCAGTTCCAGGGGATCCGACAGCCTTTTCGGTCCTCCGTGGGCATTGCACGACACAGGTGCATTTACCTACATGCAGTTATGACACTCATACACATAAAATAAATATAATAAATAAAAAATATGGTAGTCAACATAACATCCTTGGGTGTGCTTTGTCTCTGAAATGGAAATAGCGTTTCTTATCCAGGCAATCTTCATTAAGCTTTTGTAATGGGGAGGGGGCAGTGTATGTAAAAAACTTAAAACACTGATAAAGTTGACATTTATTAGCATACACTGCTCTGACAAAGCACTGTGTCAAGGGCCTTTAAGTGACAATGCAGTCACCTAACACCATTGTAAAGTGGCTACTGTTACAGGTGAGGAAACTTGGGCACATTGAAGTTTAAGTATTTGTCATAAACCACATGGCTAGCCTTGTGATCCCTGCTTGCTTTTCGTTTCTTCTCCCCTCCCCACTTTCTTGTACTGGGGATTGAACCTATGACCTTGTACATGCTAAGCAAATACTCCATCACTGAACTATATCCCAGCCCTCTTTCTGTTTTTTGTTTTGAGACAGGGCCTTAATAAATTGCCAAGTCTGGCCTTGAAATCACTCCATAGCCCAGGCAGGCCTTGAATTTGAGATCCTTCTGCCTCAGCCTCCTAAATAGCTGAGATTATAAGCCTGTACCACGAGGTCCTGCTCCTGTGTTCTTAACTATTACGCACCCATACTGTCACTATATACATTTAAATATATTATGTGCTAAGGGGAAATAGTGAATGGATTTTTAAGGCAATTTTGTTTGTGATCTTTTGGTTGTATAAATAATTGTGACTCGTTCTCGAAGCATCCTTAGTAATTTGTGTCGTGATGACTACAGTTACTTTAAGTGGTATATTCCACCTTTTTTTTGAGGATCTCACTCTGTAGCCTAGGATGGCCTCAAACTTTCAGAAGTTCTTTTGTTTCTCAGTTTTCTGAGTGCTGTGATTATAGATACATGCCACCATGCCCATCTTTGATGCCCAGTATTTTTTTAAAAAAAGGCTATTTTAAAACAAAGAGTTGTGATTAATACCTATCAGGAAGCACAAATCAATAATTAAGATTTTTTTTTTGAGGCAGGGTCTCCCTATAGCCTCAAGTGGCCTGGAACTCCCTATGTAGTCCAGGCTGGCCTTGATCTCACAGAGACACAGAGATCTACCTGCCTCTGTGTCCTGAGTGCTGGGATTAAAGGCATGCATCACCTCACCTCGCCCAGCTTATATTATATAATTTATATTATATCTTGAGACAGGGTCTCTCACTGATCGGCTAGACTGGCTGACTGACAAGTACCTGTGATCCTTCTGTCTCTGCCTCCCAGTGCTGAGATTACTGGTACAAGCTACCATTGTTATAACCCCTCCCTCATTTTTTTTTTTTTTTAAGATAGAGTTGTACTATGCAGCCCTGGTTGGCCTGGAACTCACTGGAACCAGGCTAACCTTGAACATACCGAGATCCACCTACTTCTGCTTCCTGTGTTCTGGAATTAAAGGCATATGCCACCACACCTGACTCTGCCTAGGTTTTTACATGTGTGCTGGGAATCAGAATTCAAGTCCTCATGCTTTTGTGGCAAGCACTTTATATACTGAGCCATTCCCCAGCCCTCATTAAATTCCTTGAAACAATAATTAGATGGATGACTTTATAAAAACAACTGATTTTAGTCAGGTTCATTGCTTTGATAAAGGTAAACTAATTTTCTCAGTCTTTATTTGTAGAAAAAAATATGACATAAATAAAAGTGTCTGTGGTAATCATTCTTGTATTGAACCTTTCTTGATTATTTCTGATAAGTCTTTGGGATATAAAGTTTAATTTCTGACTAATCTTTGAGGAGTTCAAGGAGAGACCCAAGTCCAATTTGAAGACTAGATGAACAAATAGATGATTAACTTACATATATAACTCAGATAGTGTGGGTACAGAGAGCTGTGGGAATACATGTGCTGGGCTGGGCTAGGCCAAGGAAGGAAGGGTACAAAGTAGAGGGTAAGGGAGAACTAGCTTCTGGTGGCATATAGGAGGAAACTGACAAGCCAGGATAAGTGAGAGAGCGTGTGTGTCCAGGGGGTAGCCCGGTAGCCCAGTTTTCTGGGCCTTATAAGGAGACAAACAAGTTGGGTCCAGGTTGTTAATTCTCAGCTAAGACTGTGACTTTATTCTGTGGGCTATAAGGTCTTAAGGGTCTTAAGTAGATGAGTAATATGATCAACTTTCAGTTTTGTTCTTTTTATTTATATGTTTTTTTTGCTTTTTTTTTTTTTTTTTTTTTTTTTTATTTTTTTTTTTTTTTTTTTTTTTTTTTTTTTTTTTTTGAGACAGTGTCTTGCTCTAGCCTAGGCTGGCCTGGAACTCACGGTGTAGTTGACCTCTTACCACAAGGCAATCCTCCTGTGTAAGCTTATCAGTGCTGGGATTGGAGGCACATATGAGCCACCACTCGTGGTTATACTCTTGAGAGATGTCTTTGGTGAAAGAATGTAAGGCAGAGGCCAATAAAGTTTCATACTCTAGACAAATTTGTGTATCCCTGGGGATCCCCTGGGGCAGAGCTGACAGGGGCAGATTCCACACGTTTGTTTTTTTTTTTTTTAATTTTATTTATTTTATGTGTATGAGTGTATTGCCTGCATGTATGTGAGTGCACCCGTGTCGTGCAGTGCCATGGAAGTCAGAAGAGGGCTTTGGATTCCCCTGGAAATGGAGTTAAGGGTGGTTTGTAGCCGCCATGTGGGTTCTGGGAATCGAACCCGGGTCCTCTGCAAGAGCAGTCAGTGCTCTTAACTGCTGAGCCATCTCTCCAGCCCCACGTTTTTTTTTAAAATTTTTTTATTTATTATTTTTATTATTTTATGTGTATGCGTGTATTGTCTGCATGTAAGTAAGTGCACCCATGTCATGCAATGCCCGTGGGGGATAGAAAAGGCTGTTGGATACCCTGGAACTGGAGTCACAGACAGTTGTTAGCTGCCATTGGGTGTTGGGATTTGAATCGGGGTCTTCTGCAAGAACAGCCAGTATTCTTAACCGCTGAGCCATCTTTCCAGCCCCAAGATTCCATACATGTTTTGAAAACAGAATATATGGTAGATTGTGTGTAAAGAGCACCAGGATGTGGCAGGCAGAGGTGGAACACTTGTACAAACCAAAAATAGCTTATTGTATAATCTATTGCATAGCTAATGGTTGGAACTTAGAGGTACTGTTCACTAGTTAAGGAAAAGGGATAGAGGCAGGCAGGGTTCTTGTGATGGTTCCAAGGGTGTGGGAAGACTCATTTAAGCTATATTTTGGGGAAATCGAATACTGTTAGAATGATGGGCATTAGAATATATTATTCTTATATTAGATTTTTTTGTTGTTGTTTGTTTTGTTGTTGTTTTGAGACAAGGCCTCAGGTAGCCCAGGCTGGCACTGAACTCTATGTAGCCAAGGCTGATCTGAAACCTCTGATCCTCCTGCTTCCACCTCTTAAATGATAGGATTACAGGGTGTTACTAACACCCTCAGCTTACATTAGGTTCTTATGTATTTGTATGGAAGTGATTTTAATGAGGAAATAATCACTGATGAAATTATCTGGTCGTAAAATGGAATCACCCAAATATTTCTAGCACTAGAATTACTAACATGACGTGAATGCAGGGCAATCATTTATAAGTTGAAAAGGAAAACTTGCCAAAGTTACAGGATTTCATTTATTCAGAACACAGTGCAGAGCTATTCAAAATAGCAACACAAATCATAGAACTGGTTGGTTGATTAGGCAAAGATTCCTTTGAAGGACTCAGAAAGCAACAACCTTAAAAAATGATTGATACGTTTGCCTTCAGAATCTAAAATCACTGTTAAGAGAATGAAGAGTAAAATACAGACTGGAAGAGGAACTTCGTCATGTGAAACTGCTATATCCTTCCAGAATGGCTAAATTCAAGATGATCATTGCTAGTGCTGGCCTAGATGTAGACCAACTGGATAGTAAAATGGTATACATGGTGACTTTGAAATGCTGTGGCTTTGCCCACACCTATCCATGATCTAGCTGTTCAATTGTAGGTGTACTCAAGAGAAACAGACATACCTACTGAAAAGCACATAAACTAATATTCCTACCATCTGCATTCATAATAACCACAGATGTGCAGCAGCAACAGAGGAGATTAATAAATTGTGATATATTTATAAAATGAAGCATTGCAAGAGCATTAAAAAACGAATTACAGATACAGAAACATAGCAGATCTCATAGGCATAAGAAGGCATATAGAAGGTTGCATAGTGCATGATTTCATTGAAATGAAGTTCAGAAACAGCTACTTGTGGATGATAGATGTGAGAATAATGGTTATTCCAGGTTGCTGATTGTAATGACAGGGAAGGGCATGTGGGAACTCTTCTGGAAGGCTGGGAATACTCTGTATATTGGCACAGGTAAGTGACTATGTAAAAATTTAAATTGTACACATAAGATTTGTGTACTGTGTTTATATGTGTGTGTGATGTGTGATATACATACATACATACATACACACATATATATGCATATATATATATTATTCTAAGAAAAACAAAAAAACGGGTGCTAGGCAGTGCTAGGTCCACTAACTTCATGAGGAAGCTAAGAAGAACACTGAGAAAGAAAGTATTTTTCCTTTCTTTTTTGAAAGTTTGGTTTTTTTTGTTTTGTTTTGTTTTTGAGACCTTTGAAACATGGTCTCATGCAATTCAAACTGGCCTAGAATTCCCTTTTAGCTGAGAGTGATGACCTTGAACTCTTCATCTTCCTGTCTGTATCTCCCAAATGTTGGGACACCACACCCACATGGCTTGCTGGCTTTCTTCCCCTCCCTTACTCCTTCCCTCCCTCCCTCCTTTTTTCATGGTGGAAACAGGGTCCCTATGTAACCTAGGCTGGTCTTCAACTTGATGAGCCCCCTGCCCCTGCTTCTGAGTGTGGGATTATGGGTGAACACCACCATGCCAGGACAGAGAAGTGCTTTAGTAGAATTTGAAAGGAATACAAGTCTCCAGAAAGAAGGTAAAATGATGAAATTTGGATTTTCTTTTTCCTAAAATGACTTTTATATGGTTGTTTGCCAAAGGAAAATGTGAAAACATGTAATATCATTCTGCTTTGTAGTTCAGGTGCAGAAATAGGCCTCAAGCTCTCTACCCATGTATTACTTTTCCCTTAACACTAGTGCATATTTGCAGGTATAACCTAAATTTTGATCAATATATGGAGAGTCAATTTTTTTTTACTCATTTTCTGGAAAAATCTAATCAACTCATCATTCTGGAATGTGGTCCTTGTTTAAGGGAAACTGCTTTGTCCTCCCACTCCCTTTGCTGACTCTGATGTTACAAGGTTTAGAATAACAGAGCTAAGAAAAGTCTTTAGTGAGATTGTGAGCTTCAGGTTAGCCTGAAGGAATGCTCAAAAAAAAAAAAAAAAGTGTGAGAGGAGAAACTCACGAGGCCCCACTCCTAGTTGAGCTTCTGGCAGTTGATGGCTCTTAGGAGAGGGAGAGGTCATTTTCCTTTGGGTGTGTGACCACTGGTATGTCGCCTGTGCTCCAGTGGATGGATGTCCCAGTACACCCGTGTGCATACAGGCAGCACTAATGTCTCTCAGTGAATTATGAAAACAAAACAAAAAACCCAAAGGGGACATGAATTTGGGAGGGGAACATATGGGAAGGAGGATATGATCAAAGCACCTTGTATATATGTATGAAATTTTCCAAAGAATTATATATAAAGAATAATACACACACACACACACACACACACGTAAGAGTAGATAATTCCCTTGGAGAACTCAGAAATAGCAGGTTGGTGAACTGGTATCTGATCCTGATGTCACAAAGAACTGAAGTACTGTATAAAGAACAGGATAGAGAGAATGATGAGCAGAGAGAATGAGGTAGCAGCTATTTCTGGGCTCCCTGGGCAGGCAGTGTGGAAGGAGACTTCTCTACAGTAAAGTTCAGGTGGAAGGTCATTTTGATGTGGGGTTGGGTTGGTTTTTGTTGATGGTCAGTTTGACAGAATCTGGAATCACCTAGGAGACAAGCTTCTGGACATGCCTTGAAGGATTATCTAGTTAGGTTAATTGAGATGGGAAGAACCACCTTAACTGTGGGCAGCACCATTCCATGGGTTGGGATTCTGAACTGAATAAAAAGGAGACTGTGGCTGAACACTAGTACTGTTCCTCACTCTCTGCTTCCTGATTGGATGAGAAGTGATCAGCAGCCTCAGGTTCCTGCCTCCATGACTTCCTGCCATGATGGAGTGTTACTCTTTGTTGTGAGCCAGAATAAACCTTTCCTTAAATTGCTGCTTTCTTATTTTTAGTCTTCAAGATATTAGCTTTTACTTTATGTGTACAAATGTTTTGCCTACATGTATGTTTGTATACTGTGTGTGCTTGCTGCTCATGGAGGCCAGAAGAGGTTGTTGGATGCCCTGAAACTGGAGTTTCAGATGGTTGTGAGCTGCCATATGGGTGCTGGAACTGAGCTCAGGTCCTCTGCGAGAGCAGCCAGTGTGCTCTTAACTGCTGAGCCATCTTTCCAGCCCTTTAATTGGCTTCTTATAAGATACTTTATCCCAGCATTGAAAAAAAGTATCTTATACAGGTTCTTGCTATTTCTGCTATACTGCTGTAATACAAACACTTTCTTAGAATTATCTCCTCTATATCGTGTAGTGTTTAGTAAAGCTTTCCCTTTGTGAAGTTAAAGAGAAAAGCTAGAAACTAGGAGTAGCTTAAATACTGAAAAATTTTTTTTTAATTTGTCGAATCGGGTCTTGCTATATAGTCCAGCCTAACCTTGAATGTGTGCTAGGTTTTCCAGGCTGGCCTTGAACTTCTGATCCTCCTGACTTCACCTCCTGAGTGCTGAGATTACAGACATGTGGCACTTTGCCTGGTCTATATTCTCAACTGCTATGCTTGTTTTAACTCAGTGTAATTTAAAATACATAGCACTGTTGTGTAAAATACATGACTTTATACGTAAGGGATTATTTGAATAAGAAAATGCCCCGTATTACAAGTCATGTCTAAAGTTTCTGAGTATCCTTGTAGAGTGTGTCTTACTATAGCTACTTAGAGCCGTTCTTTCTGAGGTGGAATTTTTAAATGAGATGTCCTTTTGCCCTTTCATGTGTGTTGTAACTGTTTTCACATTCATTTGATAATCTTAATGTCTCATTATTTTCCTTTGAAATTTATATTGCACTTTCTCCCTGGATAGAGTCTTTCCATGTAGCCAGGCTGGCCTCAAACCAAGGAGCCTCAGCCTCACTGATGCTGAGATTACAGTGGGGAGCCACCACATCTGCCGAAACTTAAGGTGTTCAAAACCAAATGATTAGTGGAAGAATTATGTTTGTTTTCTCTAAAAATGGGAGAGAAGAGAAACAGGATTGAAATACTTCACAGTAGTCCAGAGTGACCTTATTTGCTAGCTTTCTTTATGACAGTAATGAAACCAACACAATTTAGTGTTTGTCTCTTTACAGCAGAGGTACACCGGAAATCAGACTCTTTGCTTTGCCACTGTGATGAAGAGTTCTTGACTGTTGAGTAGACTAAACAGGTAACGGAGTCTAATTTGGATGTGATGGTTCCCAAAGCTGTATTTCTTCCCTCCCTCCCTCCTTCCCTCCCTCCCTCCCTCCCTCTCTCTTTCTTTCTTTCAATATGTACTTTTTAAAAATATTTTATTATTTTTATTTTATGTATATAAGTGCTTTGCTTGCATGTATGTAAGTGCACCCGTGTTGTGCAATGCCGTGGAGGTTGGAAGAGGGTTTCAGATCCCTTGGAACTGGAGTTACAGACAATTGTTAGCTGCCAGGTTGGTGTTGGGAATTGAACCCAGGTCCTCTGCTAGAGCAGCCAGTGCTTTTAACTGCTGAGCCATCTCTCCAACCCTGGATCTTATATTCTTACTTTGAACTAAGAACTCTAAAATTATCTGATTTTCTCTTTGACAGATATTGTTTAGACTTCTGAAGGGCCTTTCTGCCCATGAATATTTAATAGCTCTTTACATTTCTAGGAGATGGGTAGGTGTTTACATTAGTTTTTCTCGACTGGTATAATAAATTACCACAATCATGGTGACTTTAAAAAACAAATTTATTAGCCAGGAGTAGTGGCTCATGCCTTTAATCCCAGCACTCTGGAGGCAGAGGCAGGCAGAACTCTATAAGTTCAAGGTCAGCCTGGTCTGCATAGTAAGTTCTAGGGCAGCTGGGGCTACAGGGAGACCCTGTCTCAAAAAATAAAAACAAAAAACAAAAAATTTACTTTCTCAGAGTTTTAGAGACAAGAACTCAGAAATCGGTTAATGAATCAAGGTCAAGAGAAGGTGAGGTATGCCCCCTCAAGCTGCAGAGAATTGCTCTTGACCTCTCACAGCCTTGGAGACCTGTATTTCTCCATTTTCTGCGTGTATGGTCCCAGCCCCTTTCTCTTTTGTTTGAAAATTTCCTGACCCCCCTCCCTTTTACAAGTATGTGTGTGTAATATTTTGAATGAGACATGTTCCCTATAGATGCCAGGTATTTGACTACTTTGTCCCCACTTGGTGGAGTGCATGGAACCTCTAGGAAGTGTAGCCTTGCTGGAGGAAGCAGGTCACTGGCCGTGGGCTTTCAGAGTTCATAGCCTTGTCTGTTTCCAGTTTACTCTCTCTGCTTCCTGCATGTGCTTGGAGCTCTCAACTTCCTGTGCCCTCTGTGTCCTGCTGCCATGCCTCTCCCAACATTATGGATTCCCTCTGGAGCTGTAAGCCCCCAAACCTCTTCCTTCTATATAAATTGCCTTGGTCATGATGTTTCATCACAGAAACAGAAAAATAACCAGTACAATGCGATTGTGTTGAGAGCCTTCTCTGATAATTCAAAATACTCCTCCCATCATAAAATAATAAACTTAATCACATTTATAATCTTTTTGTTTTTTTTCTGCATGGCATTTGTAGCTTTCAGGGCTTCCAATGTGACATACACATATATTTTAAATGAACTTACATTAATTGTATAAAATAATGGTTTTCTTTATGACATTTTTGTACATGCTGTACATGCTATATAACTTTTCTTGTTGATACAACAAAATACGGGACAAAAGCAATTTAAAGGAGGAAGGATTTATTTTGGCTCAATTGAAGTATGAAAGTGCACTCTTTATCATAATATGAAAGATATGGTTACAGAATCTTGAGACAGCTGGTCACAGTGTATCCAGTCAAAGAGAGATGAACACCAGTGTTCAGCTCACTTTCTCCTTTTTATTCTGGACAGGATCCTAGTCTATGGGGTGGTGCCGCCTGAAATTAAGGTAGATCTTCCTACTTCAATTAACCTAATCTAGACAATCCCTCACAGGCATGCCCAGAGGCATGTCTCCTAGGTGGTTCTAGAGATCCTGTCAAATTGACAATATTAACTATCACTTGGCTGTTTTCATAATACTAATTATGCCAATCCAAAGGGCATAGGTGGTCTTTGCACCATCTGATGTCATCTTTAATATCTTTAATGGCTTAAAATTTTTATTGTAGAGGCCTTTTATGTTTTTGGTTAGGTTTATTTTTAATTTTGTTTTGTTTTTCCCCTTGAGACTTTTATGAGTGGGATTATTTCCCTGATTGCTTTCTAACTGAGTTTGTTATTGGTGTATAAAAAGCTACTGATTCTTATAGAATTTGAAAATAGGTTAGTGTTTGTCAGAGGTCAAGGGAAGAGAGGGAATGTGGATATCAAAGGGCAACAGAATGAGTGCTTACAGTAAAATGTTCTGTATCTTGGCTGGCTATTTGAGTATCTTAGGTGTATTTGTGTTCTAGTTTTTGTTTTGTTTTGTTCTGTTTTGTTTTAAGACAGGATCTCCCTGTAGCCCCAGCTTGGAACTCACTATGTAGAACAGGTTGGCCTTGATCTCACAGAGATCTGCCTGCTTCTGCCTCCTAAGTGCTGAGATTAAAGGCCGGTATCACCCCACCCAGCTGTGTTTTAGTTTTTTGAAACAGTCTTTTTAGGTAGCCAGGGGGGAGCTGGAACTCACTAGCTTCAGACTGACAATTCTCCTGCCTCAGCCTCCCAAGTTCTAGGAGTATAGGCATTTAGCACTATGTCTACCTTGGCTGGGTCAATGACGTCATTGTAGTTGTAATGCTTTACTACAATTCTGCAAGATGCTGTTGCTGGGGAAACTCGGGGAAGGGTACATGGGATCTCTCTGTATATTTCTTCCAACTGTGACTCTAACCTGGCCCCGTGGCACAATGGAGAGTGTACTTCTACACAACTGTGACTCTACAATTACCTCAGAAGAAGGAATTGGTTCCCCTGGAACTGGAGTTATAGACCTTTGTTAGCTGCCATGTAGATTCTGGGAACTGATCCTGGGTCCTCTGTGAGAGCATCCAGTGCCCTTAAAAAAAATTAAGACTATTTCCTCTTTTTGAGACAGGGTCTCATTATATTGCCCAGGCTGGTCTCAAACCTGTGGTCTCCAGTGATCCTCCTGCCTTAGCCTCCCAAGGACTGGGACTACAGCAGGCACATGCCATCATATCTGGCCCTTAACCCCACTGAGCCATCTCTCTGGCCCCTCTTTTATTATTTTTAATTATGTGTATGTGTGTGGGTCTCTGTGTAGATATGTATATGTATATACTAGTGCCTGTGGAGGCCAGAGGCATCAGATTTTGGGAACTCAAGTCACAGGTAGTTGTAAACTGCCTGATGTGAATGCTGGGAATTGAACTAGGGTCCTATGCAAGAACAGTATACTCTCTTAACTGCTGAGCCATCTCTTCAGCCCTGTTTTACTCGTTTTAAATTTGGGTTATTTGCCTGTTATTGGGTTGTTGGAGTTCTTTATATACAGTGTTCTAGGTTGTTGGAGTTCTTTATATACAGTGTTCTAGTAAACTTGATTTGTAAAACTTTTTTCCCATTCTGTATTTTTCATATGAAATACAGTTGTCTTTCCTCAGTAGTCAGTCCTCCCTGGAAATGCTTTTAAATGTTTACCTGTATCTGTAACTCAATTAGTTCAGGAGGTTGTAGGGGTAGATTACTTGGCATTTTTCTGTGTAACGCATCATACCATCTGCAAATAGGGCATTCTGATTCTTTTCTGTATGACTTCTTTTTCTTACCTTCTTATGTTTGCTAGAGCTTCCAGTCCTGTGTGAAAATGAGATGGTAAATGATACTTGCCTCTTTCCTTCTTTCCTGATAATGCAGTGGGAGGAATTCATTATGCATTGGATCTTTTTCTTCCTTTTTTTTTAAAAAAAAAAAAAAAAACATGGTCTCAACTGTGTAGCCCCAGCTGGCCTGGAACTCTCTATATAGACCATACTGGCCTTGAACTCACAGAGATCTGCCTGCCTCTGCTCCTGAGTGTAGGGATTAAAAGTGTCTGCTACCATGCCCGGCCATGTATTGGATCTTTTATTTTATCAGTAAATGTAATAGTTGCTGTAGGTTTATTTTGTAATTTCTTACTGTCTAGTTGAAGAACTTCCCTTTATTTCTGCTTTTTATGAGTGCATTGTTCATTAGTGTGTTTATCAGAGTTTTTTTTTTTAATTTTTTTAAATTTTTTAAAAATTTTGGCTTACAGTGGCTGAGGTTTCAGTTCATGGAGTCTGGTTCCACGTTTTTGGGCCTGGGGAGTACATGACAGTGGAAGGGTGTTGTGAAGCAGCGCAGTTCAGCTTGTAGTCGTGAGGAAGTAGAGGGAGGAAATGCTTGTTCATGTGGGCTTCCTCCTGTTCCCTTTCATTGTGGGATGGTACTGCCCACATTCGGGACATGTCATTCCCCAGTAGTCAGTCCTCTCTAGACACCATCTTGCAGACATACCCAGTGCTGTGTTTACTAATGTTCTAGATGCTTCTCAGTCCAGTCAAGCTGACAGTCAAGATACACTATTATAGGAGGTCATGAATTTTTTTCAAAAACCCTTTTTGTGTGTCTGTTGGTATGATCATGTGCTTTTTGTTTTGTTTTGTTTTCTTGAACCTATCAATATTGTGCAGTACTTTAATTGTTAAATATTGAAGTAGTTTTGCATCCTGGATTAAACAGTTTTTATATTGTTGAATTCTTCCTGAAGTTTTCTTGTGTCTATTTGTACTTCCTTTATGCTCTTTTTATGGTTTCTGTATCAAGGTGATACTAGCTTCATGAAATGAATTGAGAAGTGCTTCCAATTCATCTTTTGTTTTTCCAGGAGATGTTGTATAGAATTGGTTTAATTCTTTAGACTTTTGATAGAATTTTCTGATGAAACAGTCTAGGCTAGGAGATTTCTTTTTTAAATTTATTTTTTTTATTGCTCTTTTAAAATTTCATACATTTCCCATTCAAATCCAGACCCCCTCCCCTATCTAAGCCTCCAGAGATTTTTTTTTTCAGAAGTCTTTTTGATCATTTAATTCACTCAATAGTTGTAAGGCTATTCAGAATTATTCATTTAATTTTGAGTGATTTCATATTATTTAGTGCTTTTGAGGATTATTACTACTAGGCAGGTTAGGTGTCATTACTGTTCCCTACCTGGTCTTAGCTG